AAGTGAAAAATTTGAAAAACAGTGATTGGAAACGGAATTAAATATACGCAGATGCTTTACAAACCCTGAAAATGGGAAAGATAATAAGTCTATTAATAATAAGAGTAATAATTCTGGTGCTTAAGGAAATGTTACTAATTAATTTTACTTTAGGAAAAAAACAAGTGGAGAAATCTTGCAGACACCACTTTAATCAACTGATCAAAGTTAACTCCAGTGTTAATGTCCTTATTTTGACAACTGTATTGTGGCTATGTAAGAGAATGTTCCAGTTTTTAGGAAATATACACTAAAGTATTCAGAGGTAAAGAGACATCATGTTTAAAACGTATCCTCAAATAGTCTAGATAAAAAATGTGTGTGTGTATATCTATCTATCTATTTATCTAGAGAGAGAGAGAGAGAGAGAAAGGAGAATTAAAGCAATTACGGTAAAACTTTAAGAAGAAATCTGGGTGAAGGGTATATGAGAACTTTTTGTATTTCTCTTGCAACATTTATGTAAGTCTGCAAATTACATAAATCAAAATAAAATATTAAAACAACAACAAAAGGCAGGTTATGCTGGAGGTCTTATGTTAATGAACCAGCAAACTATCCAGATGAAAACAGGATGTATAAAGGAGGATTAAACTTTATCCTGAAAACTGTGGTATCTTCCAAACCAAACACATCGATGGACATAATGTGTTTCCTCCAAGTACTTTTTATCCAAATCTCCTTTGAGAATACAATAAATTGAGCACCAAATCCTGCTTGATTCTCATCCTTTGGTAGGGATGGTCACTTAATTTAGGATATCCTTAAAACAGTTGAGCTTAAGTTGTTTAAAATAGCAATCACCTTATTCATGAGTTAAGTGAATTCCCCTGGAATTGAAACACTGATATGCTGAACTCTGCATGACATCTGGTAAATAAAGGAATAAATATAGCTATATGTGGTCAGTGGCCAAACCTCACAGGAGAGTGAGATTATAACAGACGTCTCCTTCAGTGAAATAGACAACTGAGCTATTTTTCCACTCAGTTGCCTGGACATTTGTCTGAAATAAGCCAAATAGAAAAGTTACCTTGGCTTCTTATACGTACAGCCTGCTTCCTAAATTTTGTCTTCTTGCCTTATCCCATCACAGCAGTCAATGAAAGAGAACATTAACTTAAAGAAAAAAAAAAAAAACTGACATAGTCATTTAATTTTGGGTGCATATTGCTACTGCAGATATCAAATGATTTTTTTTTTTTTTTTTGCTGCGTCGGTTCTTAGTTGTGGCACTTGGGATCTTCGTTGCTGTGTGCTGGCTTCTCTCTAGTTGTGGTGTGCAGGTTTTCTCTTTCCTGGTTGTGGCGCGCGGGCTCCAGAGCGTGTGGGCTCTGTAGTTTGCTGCACGCGGGCTCTCTAGTTGAGGTGTGCGGGCTTAGTAGTTGTGGCACGCAGGCTTAGTTGCCCTGCGGCATCTTAGTTTCCCAACCAGGGATCTAACCCGCACTCTCTGCATTGGAAGGCGAAGTCTTAACCACTGGACCGCCAGGGAAGTCCCTCAAATGATTCTTAAAAGTGCTATTGAATTCTCAAACTGTTGACTTTTATTAACGTGCATGCAGCATCGTGCTAGGCTCTGTGAACTTTGGAAAAGAAACAGAATACATGATCCTCGCCCCAAAGAGCTTATATCTGGGGAAAAAAACCCTGCATAAAACAACTAGAGAAAAACATCTAGGTATTAAATACACTTAGAAAATGACCAGAGCAAAACATGAAATTAAATATTCTATGAAGATTATGATTACACACTAAATGTAGTTGAAACTATAAATTCTAAAGGAGTGGCTGGCACCTGGCCCACATTGTCCTAACGGGAGGCACAGCGTAGATGTCATGTCCCCCGAGCACCAGGCAACGTGTGGTGAGTGCAGGGCTATAAATAGGAAATGACAGATAGTTTACAGTATATACCAAACTAACTTAAGCAGGACTATACTAATGACATTAGGGAACAGAAGCATACATAAATAGAACGTGAACATTGTGTATAAACAAGGGAGCAAATATGTTTTGTGGATGGAAATTGAGGGAGAAAGCTCTCCTTCTACAGAAAGGCAGGAGGGTGTGGTAGAACGAATATCAACTTTGGTTTCAGATACACTGGGGTTCAAATCCTGGCTCTTCCACTGTGTGAAATTGGGCGCATTAACTTTTGCAGATCTCATTTTCCCTACATCTACTATAAAGCTA